TTAGTTATGATTTAGAAGGTGGCTACTTTAAACTGATATTTGTTTTTTTAGTTGAAGCTTGAACTGTGCAAAGCTGTGCCCCAAAAATGCAGGCAGAAGGCAAAGGGCTAGTCACCAGTATTGACTGTGGTTTTCCTGCAGCTCATCTTTTCTCCATTTCTGATTTCCCGCGCCTTTGTCTACACTGTTTCACTGAATGGGGGCGGATATTTTAGTAGAGACAGGGCTTTGCTTCCTCATGTCAGAGCTGCTCTCCCCCCCAATGACTGGTGATCTGTTAACTGCCAGAGTAATAATCAAGAGGCAGCAGGGGAGGTGCAGAAAGTGCAGATTAAGAATTAATTAAGCAGGAAAAAGGGAAATCCGTGCAATACAGATTTGTCACATCAAGGAGAACAGTGAGCAGCACAGTAGTGACATCACCAAATCTCACTGCAAATCTCCTGAGACTAGCAGTCAGAGACAGTAGTGCCTTAGATGAATTCACACTGCAGATATACAGCTATGTGGCTTAAGAGATAGGAATTGCAGTTCTATTTTTCAGAAGGAATTCCTGGTAAAGATAGATTTTTAGCTTCATTAAGTTTTCTAGATATTCTTTATAAGATAGCAAATCCTCACGTTTTAGATCATGTCCACTGTAATCCACCTGAACATTTTTTTTCCTTCTCAAGGACTTTATTATTAAGATATCTATGCTTGAGTTCCAGGGTCGGTGAACCTGCAATGGTCATTATAGAGGTTTCCACTCTGCCTGATAGGTTGTAATTTATTTTGTATTATGGAGAATGCAACATGACACTGTGGAAGAAGTAAATGTGGTGCTTACACCCAAAACTCCTAGGTGGATAGAAACTAAGTCAAGAATTATGCTTGGATAATATTGCGTTTAATGTATCCCAGATATGGCTTAGTAACCACTGCTATTTTATTGTGCAAGTAATTGCTAACACCATGCACAGTGAAAACCAGAATTGGACTGGTTATATGTAACATTTCTGAGTATACGGTGTACCTGACAGTTTGATGACACAATGTTTTTCCATAGAGACACCCAAACAAGTCACTCAGCAGAGCGAATAACCTGAGCTTGCTTGGTTTTAGATTACATTCTAATTTGCAATTCGTAAGTGTCCTCTAATTCCTCACTGTTACACTTGTATAGAATCAATAGCTTAATAGCTAGGAAGAACATCAAAGTTGCTTTTATTGACTCCTTTTATTTTAACCCCTTAGTGACACAGCTTCAGAAAATGTTTTCGTTCCTGGGGACTCGGACGATTTTGCCATTTTTGCTATATTTATGTTTAACCTTAATTTGAATCTTCCTCATTCATTATGATTGCACCTACACATATTATATACCGTTTTTTAAAAGGACAAAATGGGGTTTAATTTGACATGACCTATGCATGTATAAAAGAAAAAAAAAACATCATCAAACGGCTGTCTTATAGTATATCTGCTTTCAATGCCTTGCTGTCTGGAACAGATGGTAGATCTCTGAGTAACAGTAATAAGGATGAGAGTGGGATAATCAAGATAATAAGTGATATGTTTAATAGATTGTGTATGAAGTCCATATGAGAATAGAGTTAAAGAACTCCAGGAATTTTTTTTATTAACCCTTGCAGTGGGGCTACCCCTGCACTGCAAGGGTTAGTTGCTTGTTTGTGTCTAGGTGCTAAAAAAAACAAAATTATACTCAACTGAAGCTGTGAGCCAGCCAGCTGTTACAGTGCTCCCTCCAGCCTTTCTCCTCCTCCCTGCAGTATTGGAAAGCGTAATCACTTCTATACACTGTGTATAGACGTGATGATTTACGGGACCTTATACCGCTGCAGAGGAGGGGAGAGACGTTGGAAGAACTGGTCCAAGAGGAAGCCAGCTTGGAGCTTCGGGTGAGTCTAACTTTTATTTTTAACTTTTTTGGACGATTTCTTAAGGGACCGTAATATACAGGGGTACGGGTACTCCTAGAATGAGATCCTAATAGGTTGGACTTGATGGACTAATGTCTTTATTCAACCTCAAATACTATGTAACTATGTAACTATGTAACCTAATCCCACTGCAAGGGTTAATAACAAAAATGTCCCGAATTTTGCCTTAAAGGAGAACTATGAGATGAGTGATTTCCACTCACCTCATAGTTCTAGCCAACCTGTGACAATGAGACTGTCACAGGTCGGCTCAGTAGATCGGGAGGTGAGCGAACACATACCGGGTTCGCTCACCTCTCGATCCTGTCACGGCTCTCTGCCGTGACAGGGGGAGGGGCTGGATTCCTTTCTCCCCGCTCCGATCTGCCAGCGCTGACTGGCGGAATGGACGGGGGAGGGGGCGGGCCAGCTGACTCACGCAGCTGGGCAGATCCCGACGTCCATGTCGGGATCCGCTCTGGCTGCGGTCTCAGTATACCGCAACATGTAGCTCGCGGTATACTGAGCTTAGGGTAACGGGAGGACACTAGTTTGTGTCCTCCCGTTACCCTAAGGAGAACTATGGGGAAAAACACTGACCCCATAGTTCTCCTTTAAAAGTTAAGCTGCATTTTTGCCCAGGCAGTGTTCACTTTAATCGTAGCCCCTGCTGCTGCTGCTTATACTTCCCTCCAATCCCGTGCCACCTAGCATGGGTAAGTGAAGTACAACACAAGTACTCCCAGGTATCATGATTGGCCGCTTAAGTATTCAGTGTGGTCACATAGGGGCATCAAGAGAGTCCTCAGCTGGGACATGATGCTTTCACAGGTCTTCATGCTAAGTATAAGCAGTTGAAGGGACCTAGATAGGCAAAACACAGGTTGTGGCTTTGGTTCCATCAACCGAACATGTCGCTTCTGTGTCCTGTAGTAAGGTAGGGGCCAGCAGGTTACCAGGGATTCACCACTCCCAGAAGTGTCAGGTGTAAAGATTATGTCTGAGGCCATAGCTCTTCAAAAGAGCAAATATGTGAGGAACAAACAACTGGACAGGTGAGTATTAACAGTCTTCTTTTACAGGGCTTTTTGACACTTTTTTTGTAGACCCAAAGATGCTTAGTGACTGGGTCACTTCAAGCCAAAACCATACCAGCTATAAGAAGAGGGAGTATTTTCTTTCCGGGGGCCTATGTCTGCATATGCTGCTTTCTCATTGCTACATGGCTGCTGCTAGTACTTGACTGGTTGGATAGGTGGAATATCTGTTTCCTTGGTTGCACACAGTGAATCCTCCTGCCTGACAGTACATCTTGTGGTAGCATATAAGCCTGAAGGAGAAACCACAGCATGTAGTAGGGGAGCATGAGGCTACTGAAAATGTACATATATTCCTTTGTCTTTAAGAAGGAGTAGTTTTGGTTATATGTGACCCTGTGCTGACAGTCACTTTAAGCAGTTATTTTATTTGTGGCTTTGTAGTGTTCCAAAAGTAGAATTACAAATCCATATAGCAATAATCAACATGCAGAGGAAGAGACTAATTCAAAGTGACTTTCAATTAACATACTAAAACTGTTGAATTATGTCGGTTAAATTAATTGGTATCTTATTTGTTGTAGGTAGGCTTTTGCACAAATACTGCAAATTCTATTTCTGATATATTAATTGTAGAGATGCATCAATTTCCTCTCATCATGTATGCTTTGCAGATGCATACGTTGACAGCGCGGGAGTCTGATTATATTAGTCTGGATCATTTTAGAAAATGAATTTTAATGATTTTCTGCTGCATATGTGTTTCATTTATCTATGTATTCCACTGGGGAGTGCATATAAATAAATGTGCATTTTTTTTCAAAGGTTATATCTGTGCAACATGCTGTATTGTGATAACAGAATATTTTAAAGTTACCTAGATATGAAAGAGGATGTACCTTTCCTGAGCTGCTACTGGAAATTCAGGCTGTCTAACTATCACTGACCCACTACATTTAATACCTTGTAAGTCAATATGTATATTTTAAATTCTGGACAAGGTTGCAGAACAGGTTAGTCAGCAAAAAGTCTCAAATCCTTATCTTGATATTGCTGCTGGGTCGATGGCCCAAGAGGGTCAGCATGACAGCCAGGCAATTGCCAATTTTCATGACAGGTTTCCTGACATTGGACGATTCATATTAAAAAAGAAAGTCGGTCATCATTTTTTTAAACTTATGGATAGAATAGGTTAGTGTTAAGACCTCTTTGAGTGTTTATTGCTGTTTATGTCCACTCTTTGGTGAATAATCCTCCCTATTTGACATGGTGACCGTTGTCCAACTTTACAGTTGCCATTCAAACAGGAGGTAAGGAAAAATCTTCAAATGGGGACAACTATTCTGGTGATAACTGTCTAAGAGGGGGGTTTCACCTCACTTTCTATTGTTTCTCTGGGATAGGAAATGAAGGGCTATCTCTCCAAGAAGACACAGACAGCAAGAAATAGCAGAAAGGGGTTTTAAATATTCACACTATCCAAAAATAAAAAAGGAGGTTGGCTTTGTATGTAGATATGTTGGTGCTAAAAAAAAAAAACTACCTTTGTTTCTCTTATGCCCAATTTAAACTAATATTTATAGCCCAATACTGACAAAAACTTTTTTTTGCTTTGAACAGACTTGGAAGGGGTTAAAACCTTTGGTCCTGGTCTGGTCCCCATTGGGGAGATTTTTACTCCCTTCTTGCTAGGAAAGAAGGTGATGGGAACTCTCTCTAGTGGGGATACAGACCCCCAAAACAGCACATTTTTTCAGTGAAATGTAGAAAGGATTGGAACACCAGTCAGGGGTTATTATTACTGTCTCCCCTCATTTCTTTTCAGCGCTGTCACAGGGTGCCATTTTGACAGGAATGGGCGTGACATCTTTCCAATGGGGTGACAGATATGAAAAATTTACAGGATTATTCTATCTAAAACCAAAAAAAAAAAAAAGGTTTTAGCATGAGTTAAGCTTTAACATGTAGACATGTCTCTTTTATTCTAGTAAAGTAATGAACCTACATGAAAGCATAACCACCCCTTTCTCTGCCTTTTCAGTTCTGCACAGAGTTAAACCAGCCATCTTTGCCTAACATACGCAAGTGGAAAGGAGTCAGAGGATCGTGGAAGTGCGTTGTTTCTGAAAAGCCATCATCCGGCCCTAACGAGGTATGTGACATTGCATTGTATTCATATTGCTGGTCAAAGGGACAAGTTTTATCGGAGGAAATCAGTTTCTAAATGAGAGTTTGTCTTAATTTGTTTTGGCAGTCATCTCACCGTGCTATTCTCATTATTTTTTGGCAAACCAAAGTTTTCCTGCTGTTCCTTTCAAAGTTCTATTTAATTTGAGGCAAACCTCGAATTTCCACACAACAATCTGCTGTAAGTCTCAACAGGACATTGTTCCTGATATATTTGTAGGCCAACCTCATACAGAATTAGATATGTGATATCTCTGAACATTTAGCTCCCATGTAATTTATGAATAAACGCTGAATGTTACCACTTTGGGGGTGGATGGGCTCTTGCCATATTGTGCAAGTATGAGCAGCATACTTTCTTATAACAGCATAATTCTCTGCTAATGTGCCTTCCACCAACAGAGTGACAAATGTGCTGCCCTTTGCCACTCCGTCAAAGTCGTTAACACCTTCTAATGGTCTTATTCTGGGTGTAGCATATTTGGGCTCTGCCACTGGCCCGCCCCTGATGACGTAACTTCTGTAAAAGTGTGCTAAAGTTAAATCAACCCAGCACCAAGCTTCATTCATGCCAGGAATGAGCTAGTGGTGAACACTGCACTCCATACACAGGCAGTTTACACGAAATATGTTTGAACACCATACCAGCGATTAAATAATGAGCTGCATTACATATATGGTAGATGTTTCTTTGTGGAAAGATTTGTGTTTCTGGTCATCTAGTCCGGATATTAACACATTGGTGGCCTTACTTTTCTGTACTGCAGATTTGCAATGCAGATAGGTCACCTCTTGATGGCATGTTCGTTGTTGGCTAATGTGCACGCAGCATACCTAATTGGCCCCCAGTGTTGCCACTCCCTCTCCCAGTCTGAAATCTAATTTACACGGGATTACATGAGGCTGATATAAAGTTTAAAAAAAAATAGGTACTTGCAGTAGTTGTATTTAAAAATACATTTATACATTTAAGAAAAATGGTATACATATTAGCATTCATTGGTATGTCTGCCTGGAGTTTAGCTTTATTGGTCTTAAGCCTTGGCCCTTAAAGGAGAACTATGACATGAGTGATTTCCACTCATTTCATAGTTCTAAGCCGACCTGTGACAATGAGACTGTCACAGGTCGGCTCAGTAGATCGGGAGGTGAGGGAACACATACCGGGTTCCCTCACCTCTCGATCCTGTCACGGCTCTCTGCCGTGACAGGGGGAGGGGCTGGATTCCCCTCTCCCCGCTCCGATCTGCCAGCGCTGACTGGCGGAACGGACGGGGGAGGGGGCGGGTACAGCTGGCTCTGCCTCTAGATAGGCAGAGCCAGCTGTCACTCACGCAGCTGGGCGGATCCCGTCATCTAAGTCGGGATCTGCTCCAGGTGCGGCGTCTCAGTATACCGCGAGCTGTAGCTCGCGGTATACTGAGCTTAGGGTAACGGGAGGACGCTAGTTTGTGTCCTCCCGTTACTCCAAGGAGAACTATGGGGAAAAACACTGACCCCATAGTTCTCCTTTAACATCAAGGTCCATTCTGCTGAAGTTAGTTATTCTTACACTATGTTTATGTTTTCTCATATGTTTTCTTTGTTTTCTTTAAGCTCAGCAGTAGACATGAACACAACAGGTGCTCCGTCTGGACACCTCCTTGTAAATTATGCACGAAACAGCACAGCTATGTTTGGGCTGTGCTAAGCAGACCATGAAGTTTTGGGATCTCATGCATTCCCTAGACTTCCCTTCTACGTGATCCATAATAGTGCCTTGTTATTTGTTTGGAATCCCAGACCTATACTAGTATAAAGCCAATACCATCATCTAGGTGATATTGATATAAGAATTGCATACCTGTGAAATAGCTACGTGTCTTACCTTGGCTCTGTGTGAATGAGGTTCCACAGTTATGGGCATAAAGTAAGTGACACATTACAGCTCTTCATATTAGTCTGGAGTATGCATCCCAGCAGAGTGTTCTGCCAACTAAAGTTTAGATATTACCAGGTATTGGCACCATCCTAGCAAGGCCTCCTCTGGGTCACTATACCACTAAGTACTGAAGTATTTACTGTCTGAATATTATCACTTCTGCTGGGGCACTGTGACTGGTGCCCTTTAGTGCTAGGGGCTGGCTCTCTGCACTCTTCTCCCCTCTGTAAAACCAGGTGCTTATGTGCCAGTACATGGCAAGCAAGTGCAGAATCTCCCAAGCAATTGCTTATACAACTCTGAAGAGGGGGAGACAGTTGGCTACCAAATGAAAGGAGCAGGCATGCACAAAGCCATCCTCGTGGCTTAGAAATTAGGTGGGTTTTCCTAGAACAGTGCTGTGACCTCAGTTCCTACAGCACTGTATATCACTAAAACTGTGTTAAAACCTCTTGTTAGACATAAGCTCAGTATTCAGGTTCAGTGCGTTTCAATGCTGTATGATTTCTGTAATTTCTGTAATTGCAGGATAGTAAAAGGAATTTGTTAGGATAATATTATGCGCATTGGTATGGCTGATTGGATTTTACGGTGGAATCTCTGACACTTTCGTCCTCATCCTTGCACATTTACTTACCATGTCAATATCCTAGAAAAGGCATGTAGGTCTGGTGTCCCAAAAAATCCATGGCTACATGCTTGTTTGAGGTCAGGTCAGTGACACACTATGCAGTAAAGCAAGGCTAAGGATGACCTTGTACATTCAAAATAAAAAAAACAAGTCAGGAGCAGAAGCTCCCTGGCAGGTTCTCTTTAGGTCTGGCCAGTTTCTACCTTAATAAGCACTGCAGTATGGGAATTAGAGCCAATGAAATGATCAAATACAAAAGCTTTTACTTGCTAATGTACTGAATAAAACCTGCATAGGAAGACAGATCCTAGTACTGCTATTTTCGGCAGCCATCATTTATGAGACAAGAAGCAATTTGTGCATTGTTGATGAGTTTGCAGATATGGCAGGATGTTTGCCTGTCATTAATACCAGTTTAATGGAATCATATTGATCAAACAAGTGTATTGTTTCAGCATTTGGCTCTGGCATCGTTTCTTTTAATAGTTTACAGGGTACTTTGTGATCATTCGTATATGCATGTCCAAAGACACTTAGCTCAAAGTACTTGAAGTACTTTAACTGGATAACTGCTAGGAATTATAGCTAAAGGGAGGTATGTAAGAAAAGAAATGCAACTGTCCTCATATAGCAATGACAACCTTGTGGGTTGACTTGGAGTCTTGTCTTGATGGACTTTTATGTGTTCATATTTATGGAGTCATTGGCATTGTAATTATTTTCATTTACTTTACTTGTTTTATAGAGATGCCATTGTGTTGTAATCAATAGAATTCAATGGAGGTTATGAGATTTAGTATACATGTAAAACATGTGGATATGGTTTGTACAAACCTAGTTCTATCATGGCTTAGGGCTTTGGGCTACTAGTTATTTCCTTTATACTTTGTCCTTTGCTGATCAGAACGTTTGCACACACAATAGTTTGTATGTTTATTATGGGATTACTACTGCTATCTTTACTACTGATGATATACAAACATTTTTACCACTGGGCACACAATATTCTGAAACAGGTAGGTCACAGGTTTGGAAGAATGTTTATGTTTTATAGCAATAGGGCTAGAGTTTGGCCATTCGGTGGGGGCATTTAGGCAATGGTGGAGAGGACCTACCCTTTACTGATTTAGACAATTATAATATTGGTAGTTATTTATTTATTTTTAGGATTGTCAACTTAGATTGCAATTTATATTTCTTCCAGCCCAGGGTTTACTAAGTCTATCATATCCTAACCATCCTGTAAAATCTTACGTTAGAATGCTTCTGCCCCACTTCAAATAAAATTGTTTTCTATGTTGCAGAAAATCTCATGCTCTGGATATCTGTGGGACACAACAGCTGGCATTGAACTGAAGAATGTCAGCTTGCAAGAAAGCCCTCAGACCAATGGCAATGGCAAGCACATGTATTTACAGCCCTACATTGCACATTTTAAGGTAAATGATCACCACTTTTGTTGCAATTATTCCTGCTTTTATCAACAGAAGCCGGAAAAGGTTTTGAAGGAGTTAACTGGAAATTTATACATGAGATGCTATCCCATGTAAGCCTAAAGCCCATGCGAACCTGGATTGAAACCATTTACTCCAGAATCCTCTTCTTTGATATGGCGCCAGACAGTGCTGCCCAATATCCCTGCTTATATTAGTCTTTACTGTGGAACCCATTCTGTGTACCTTTCGCAATTCTTTAAATATACACAGCCCTTAGCACATGCTCAGCTCATCAAAAGGCTGTGGTCTACACTATTGACCTACTCTTTTTTCTCTCACACCCAGAAAAAACACTCCATAACCTGCTGTCGGAGATTAAAAATTCAACCTTCTTTCCAATTATAAAATAAGGTTTAACAAATCTAAGGTATATTGATCCTTCCATAAACCACACAGAATCCAGTAGAATCTCTCCTCTAATGGTCACCTTCTCACTTCAAATGCTTAGAAATCAATATTTCAGCAAACCTCATCAACATTTGTAAGCTTAATTTCAAACCTCTTCTACAGACTTCTACCTCTTCCAAAAAAAAAGACATTACCTGTTAAAATAAATGCACTTTTGCATGCTTCTTTTTCTACAGCGGTGAAATGGGTTCTTTTACATGTAGACTGCAGCCCTCAGCAATACAGTCCATCTCCACCTCCCTCTCCTCCTGGTCATTCACAAAACACACAGCCCAGGTTACATTTTGTAAATGGCCAGGAGGAGAGGTAGGTGGAAATGCAAAGTGTAGTATTACAATCTATGAGACTTGCAGTGCTTACACCTAAGCAAGAAAGTATGGTGGGACCTATTGTTCTGTCCACATATAAATGATTTGACAGTTGTAGAATAAAGCCAGCATGATGTTTTGTTTCTGCCAATAGAATGTATAACTGCTGTAATATTGATGAGTTCTTTTGTACCTGGAGTTGGGCTTTAAACAGTAGTTAAAAGGAAAACATTTGTTCTTTTAATTTTGAATGGACTTTGTTGTAACAAACATCAGATAAGCATACATATCAGCAGGGAGTACAGTGATATTTTTCATAAAATATCTGGTAGCAAGCAGCATCTTAACCTAAAATGGGGCCAGGGAATCGTGGAAAGCTGTGCTACCCTTGCTGGAGATCTGCTTTAAAGGAGAATTATGGGCTCAGTGAAAAACAGTCATGTCCATAATTCAAGCCGTCCTGTGACAAAGAAGCTGATTTCCCGATCCTCTCCCCGCCGAGAGCGGTGACTATCAGTCACAGCTCCGTGCAGGGATTCCCTTAGTCACATTCTCATTATAGTCTTGCAGCATATAGATGCAGCATAGCCTCCATCTTGTTATGTATTGAGCTAAAGTGTTAGTTCTTACCTATGGCCAAGATGACCCCCTTTGTATGAATGAACCAGAATTAATTATGAATGATCCTGAATGTGCACTGTAGTCTGATGCCACTGCATGAGCCTGCCTATTGTATTTTTTTCATCCAACCTCAAAATAATTGCATTTGTTTTATCTTAAAAAGCCAACATAAAGTAAAAAAAAGTGGTAAAAAAAAGCACATAAGCAATTATTTTCTGCATATTCATTTTTCATGATCTGCATAATAGACGGTTTGGCAGGGCTGTGTCCTTTGCCTACATACTTTGTGCTAGAAGGTGTCCCTCTTTCTCATTTAGAAAGTTGGGAGTTATGGTGGTTGCCCCACTACTGCTCATACAAATACAAAACCTTTTTCGGTTTAGGTTTGTTCACACCACAACCAGGTCATCTCCAGACCAGACCAGATTGTTTCCAGACCCCAAATGCATCCTAATGTATCCCTATGCTATTTCTGGCCTCCATTCACACCAGGGCAGTCCGGCCCAGACCAGACCATTAAAATACTGCATGTTTTATTTTGTCTGGTCTGGAATGCACTGCAATGCACTGGACCGCACCTAAAGGCACATGTTAAGCTAAAAAAAAGCACAGCGTTCCAGATTTGGTCCGGAAAATAGTGTGAACCTGCCCGCAGTTACAGTGCATTCCAGACCAGGCAAAATGAGACAGTATTTTTCTTGTCTGGTCTGGAACGGACTGCACTGGTGTGAACAGAGGCCAGAATAGCATGGGGATATATGAGGGTGCACTTTGGGTCCGGAAACAATCTTGGCTGGTCTGGAGATAATCTGGATGTGGTGTGAATGGGCCCTGAAGGATGAGAACCTCTGCCATGTTTTGCAGTCCCTTCTTCCTCTTGACAAGCTTTCCCCTCATTTCTTTCTTCAAGTTTATTTTACTTACAAATGCAGCAGTTTTGCCGTGAAAACAAAGAAATGGTTATAACTGCTTTCTTATCAACCAGTCATCGACAGGATGTAATTGTTTCACAACAGGAAGCTTGCTCAAAATAATGATTTTTTTTTAAAAATCCAATCAAAGTAAAAAAAAAGTCAGTACGGAGCAACTTCTTAACATTTCCTATCATTCATGCCTCAGATGTTTTCAAAAAGCTATTCAGTACCATTGTTCTTCTTTAATCTTCTCCCCAATCTTACAGTACGTATTACTAGATCAGTATGTAGATCATGGAACAGAGCTATTGTACATCACAGAAGGCATCTTTATTGTGAAGAGTGTACCTTGGAAACTGGACATTTATTACCAACAATATAGGAGCTGGACTCCTACTGGGCCTTCATATATAAAGGTCCTCTCTGTTTTCACGACTCCTCATGTTTATTACTTGAAAGACCCTGCAAGTACAAAAAATACCTGTAATCTGCTAGAAATGCACTCAGCTCCTATTTCCTGCTGTGGGTTGACAAAAAACAGCATTTTTGTGGTGAGTGGTGTCAGCCCTGCCCGGTTTTCTTTTGCCGAACTACTCTCAAACCCTCACGCTCTTCCATCTCTACGTGCCCATTCACACTGAGCGTTTAATCATGCGATTTCTTCCGCGATAACGCGCATATTTGCCACGCGATATCGCGAGAAGTCGTTCGTCCAAAGATTTTCAATGGAGCTGTTCTAGTTTATAGCTCCATGTCGCCTGTCGCTGTCGCGCGTCGCTTGTGCAGGACGCTTTTTTCCGTGGATGTCGTGCGATTTGTCTCTTTTTGCATGCAGCCCGCCAGTGAAGGTCGCGCGATCGTCGCCTGAACAGTCGCACTATCCCGACCACGCGGAAATCTGTTCGAGGTAAGTGTCGATAAAGGGGCAGCTGCCCCGGGCCCAGTCATTGTTGTGGGGCCCTAGTGTAAGGCTCAGACGGCTGGCATCGGATGAATGCATCCTGCATTGGCCCCGTACACCCATAAACTAGAGCTAATGCTGCATCTGGACTGGCCTCCTCTGCCTCTGCCCCATCCCGACCGCTAGGCTGCCTCTGCCGCTGCCCCATCACGACGGTTATATTTACATGATCACAGTAGTAGGAGTATCTATGTGTATAGTGTGTGTGTGTGTGTGCCACAATGTTATTTATAGCTGCGCTGCAGAGTGAGCTGATGTTATTTGTAAGACGTGTAATCTTTTGATCTTGGTTATGGAGGGAGCTGGCATAATGCATGTGTGAAAATACTGCTTCGTACTGTACACCACTTGTCAACCTCAAAAAGTAAGCCCTCTGACCTATTAAATCAGTAATGCTTTCTGGTACTGCATTTGTTTCTACTGGTGAGATTACTGTGAATTGCCAATTAGAATGAACCTGAGCTTTGCGCATACAGATTCACTTAAAGGGGCCCTGTCACTATGTGCTGCACAGTAAACTAGGTTCAGCCTGTAAAAGAAAAAGATGTATACAGTACTTATTGTTCTGTTGGTTTGTGTTTTCATACTCTGCTGTGTTGCAGATCTACAGGTATCAGACACTTCCGAGTGTGTCAAACACCTTCTTCCCTGCCACATGCTGTGTTTCATCCAGCCCAGCCTCTATGACCTGTAGTGATGTAGGTGCCAGGTGGAGAAACCTCAGCATGCAGTATGGTAAACAAATCAAGAAGTGATTCCTGCAGTGGCAACACTGCAAAGTTTAAAAGTGACACTAAACTCAAGAGTTAAATCTTAATAATGCATTCAGGTTCCTTAGCTATTACCAAAAATGCATCTTATTTGTGTATCACTCGGCTGTAGATCCTCAAATCATCTCTGAATTCATGCTTGCACTGTCCTTCCTTCTGGAGGGTAGCTACTTTTGGTCCCTGTGGTCCCCGTGTTTGTTTTAAAGTAGCCATCACTCCAAGCTCACTCCAGTGAATGACTACAATCTCACATTTAGTTTACTAATTTGTATTGAGATGGTAGTCTATCACAAGAGTGAGTATGGAGCGGTGGCTTTACAACATACACAAGGACTATGGGGAACAAAAGTAGCCACCCTCCAGAAGAAAGGACAGCGTCAGCATGAATTCAGAGATGATTTGAGGATCTACAGCTGAGTGATACACAAATAAGCTACATTATTGTTGCAAGTCAGAGTACTTGAATTGCATTTGTGAGATCCATCTCCTGAGTTTGTTGTCACTTTAAAAAGGAGAACTATGGGGTTGGGGCTTTTCCCCATAGTTCTCCTCCCCCGCACCCATCTTGTGATGCCATTGGTGCCAGGTCAAACTCAGGCACTTAAAACTACTTACAATTAAAAAAATACAATTAGAGATGTATTAATACAAGGCTGCATTTATTTGTATCGTTTCTATCTGCCTAGAGTCCCGCTTTAGGCTCAGTATTGAGATGATTGCATTAGCCTGATTGTCACTGTTCCTTTTTAAACTGCAGAAAGCAGTACAAGTATGAAGTTGCACTAAATCTGTTGCTGAGAATCTGAGAGCCATTATTTGAGTACATTTCTCGTGCAATGTGTCCAGTCATATTTGATTGTGTACCTTTCCTTCACTAACCTTTGAAATTTGCCGTTAAGGTTGGAACAAATGATGTGACCTTGGTAAATATTCACCTGCGCCCTCCCCCAAATGAAGCTGGAAAGCAGCAGAGTGACAGCCACAAACCGTCTACCTTTGGACAAACGCTGCAGGAGACCCTGAAAGGTATGTAAGGCAGCAATGACCATTCTACCTCTACATGATCCAGCCTGCCTCGCATTGTATTCCAAGAATGTGTCCTGGCAGGGAGAACGTTATTATATTGACTTTTTCCAAAAGCTTTCTGTTGATCACTTACAAAGCAGCTTAAAAATGAGCATAAAAATGAGCAAACGAGCAAGTGTGTATGTATGTAATTTTTTAACTCATACTTAAAAAGGAGAACTATGGGGTTAAGGCTTTTCCCCATAGTTCTCCTTAGGGTAACGGGAGGACACAAACTAGCGTCCTCCCGTCACCTTAGGCTCAGTATACCGCGAGCCGTAGCTCGCGGTATACTGAGACGCCGCAGTATACCGCGAGCTGCTGCTCGCGGTACACTGAGACGCCGCAGCTGAAGCGGATCCCGACAATTGTGCGGGGATCCGCACAGCGTAGGCAGAGCTAGCTGCACCCTCCCCCGTCCGTTCCACCAGTCAGCGCTGGCGGATCGGAGCGGGGAGGTGGGAATCCAGCCTCTGCCATGACAGGATCGAGAGGTGAGCTAACGCCAGTATGTGTTCGCTCACCTCCCGATCTACTGAGCCGACCTGTGACAGTCTCATTGTCACAGGTCGGCTAGAACTATGAGGTGAGTGAAAAGCACTCACCTCATAGTTCTCCTTTAAAAGGTGAACTGACTGCATAAATAAGATATTTCATTTCATTTCTTGATTCCCAGTAGCCATAGTAATCTGAAATCAGATTCGGTAACATATCTTGAGATATGAGATCACTAGTGCTTTTCTGTCCACACCGTACGTGTAAAAAGCCACAAACCATTGTATGGTGATTTAAAAGTGCTAATATCAGAACTACAGGAAAGTAACTATTTACAGTGCATGAATGATGTGAAACCTCGCGCCACTACTCTAGTCAAGTTAAGCAGCTGAATACCTCCCAGTGATTACCTCCTCCCAGGTACAGACTCTCTTGCAGTCTCAGGAATTGGAAGCAGACAGTTCATCCGAATGGCCCATGCATCAGATAAAATAAAAAGTGGAAACTCGTAGTGCAGATGGTTTTAAAAGGATACTAGACTTTATTAAAAAAAAAAGGGAATACTACTCACATATCATAAATAAAATTGAGGTATTTGGTAAGCAGCCACAGACACTGTGTGCAAATCGCTCAGCTCCTCTACTCCACCCTGCATACGTTACGTCACCCCTTAAGGGGTTAAGACACCCCTGATGAAGTCACGCCCTTTGACGTAACGTACGTAGGGTGGAGTAGAGAAGCTGAGCGATTTGCACACAGTGTCTGTGGCTGCTTACAAAATACCTCAATTTTATCTATGATATGTGAGTAGTATTCCTTTTTTTTTAAATAAAGTCTAGTATCCTTTTAAAACCATCTGCATTACGAGTCTCCACTTTTTATTTTATCTGATGCATGGGCCATTCGGATGAACTGTCTGCTTCCAATTCCTGAGACTGCAAGAGAGTCTGTACCTGAGAGGAGGTAATCACTGGGAGGTATTCGGCATCAGGTGCTTCCTCTACCTGGTTTGAATTAGAGGAACAGCGCATACAGACCCTGGTAAGTCTCTGCTAAAGGTGAGGTGCATTCCAGAAGATTTCTCTGTTGATGGTCACAGGAGACTAAGTCTATTCTACATCCAATGTTTTATCTTCTATTTACTTAATGGACTATTGAAGATCCAGGATCATGGACATTTTTTAACCATTTATTATTTTCACTGGAGTGCAAGTTACACACATGCGTTTTTCTTGTCGGTATTCTTTGCACATTGCATCACATTGATTCACAGTTAATATTTAGTGCATTTGATTTTTCATTATGGATATTTTGTAGCAATTACATTTACACTAAGGTGCATGTTATATACATGCGTTTCTTTTTTGTTTTGCACTTTTTACACATTGTATCACATTACTCTAAGGTCAGTATCTACTATATCTGACACTTTGCGGTCTCATTCACACAGCGCGGCTTTTACCATTAATTTCATATTTACAGTGCATACCTGTCCATAGCTTTCAAAAATACAGCCAATCTAAGTGAGAAGCTGCGAGCAGAAACGCACAGTAATCAGGGGCGTCCCGAGGCTGGGTGTCACCCGGAGCGGAGACCACATGCGCGTGATGTCACCATGTGCGTGCGTGATGACGTGGTTCTGACGAAAGGGGCGTGGCTCCAGAAACGCGTCGACCCATGGAAGATCTACAGTTAGAAGGCTCTGGTGCAGCACTAACGTGGTTTGAATTACAACTCTGTGATTTTCATATTCCCATTTTATTCTAAACGCCTGAATTTTAAAGTCGTTTGTAAGTATCATATCAGCTGTTCTTTGCCTCTGATTAAAACTGATTTCAATCTCTACAGCATGAGGGCTAATCTTTCTGTATTCCAAGTGAAGGATTGAACAAACTCTTTGAGATAACACAGGAAGCATGCAGAGGACACAGCTTTCTTGTGATATCACTGCAATACATTGTTCAATTCTGGGAAATAATATTTGCTGTACAGTTGTGTGACTAGCTTCTCAGAGAAACGTTTTAAGAAGTTCTCTTGACAGAACCAATATTGCCCCCTAGTGCTGAGCTGCAGGAATGCAATGGTCAGTAAGGCCACATTCACACACGAATCGTTATGCACGTACAGCTCCGTGCACAGCCGTATCGGGCAGCTCCCGGGGGGAAGGACAGGTGCTGCGTGTGATTAGTACGCAGCCCCTGTCCTTCTCTGGGGCTATGCGGCTGTACGCCCCCCTACGCTCACCTCAATTGCCGGTCCGTAGGGGTGCGGGTTTTCTGGCCGGGACGCATACAGGATCCATTCCGGCGGCGTATGAATACGCTCACCCGCACCCCTACGGACCTGCAATTGAGGTGAGCGTAGGGGGGCGTACAGCCGCATAGCCCCAGAGAAGGACAGGGGCTGCGTACTAATCACACGCAGCACCTGTCCTTCCCGGGAGCTGCATGGTACGGCCCCGCACGGAGCTGTACGTGCAGGCCGATTCGTGTGTGAATGGGGCCTAACAGTACAAAGTAGCACAATAGTGTGTAACCAAACCGTAGTTCAATTATTTGGCCACAGGAAGTCTTGTGCTGCTGTGGGCTACAGCAGTAAATCTGTCAATCATTGTTTATTTTTTTTGGAAATGTCCCACTAAGTGAACCTAATTACAAACTCATTTTCTGCAAAGAGAAGTTATATGTGACAAGCAACAGCCTATTAGAAACCAGCAGTTTTATATAGATATACTGTTAGAATATAAATTATGACTTATTCACATTCATTTGCTAAAAGTGAAATCCTACCATCTGCCATGTACTAATGCTCATCATTGCTTTTTTCTACAATAAACCCTGGTTCTATTTAAAGCTATACTCCAGGCATCAAACTAAGTACACATTTGAAGTACATACATTATGTAGGAACTGTTTTAACAACCAAAGGGATTGCAATCCTCTGCTGCCAGTTTTGTAATCTGCAGTTCCCATCAATGTCATATAGCACAGTAGTGTTCAATCTTCATTGCAGCAGCACAACTTGGTCAGGAACAACCCCCAACTTGCTGATTGGACAATGAAGTCTTGTCATCACAATTTTGTTGTTTCCTCCTGTCATCATGTTCCTTATCAGCACATGTTACCACAGCCCAACCTGATTAGCGCCAAGTGCTGGCCCTCCCTCTCTCACACTGGGCCAGATAAACTTTAAATAAAGTATATTTAGTACTTTTATAAAGCAACACAAATGCATTGGGGAGCATTTATTAAAATGGGAGCAGACAGAATCTAGAGCATTTGCCCGTGACAACCAATCAGCTTCTCTCTTCAGTTTGTTCAGTTAAGCTTTGAAAATGAAAGAGTGAAGCTGATTGGTTGCCAAACACAGCTGCTTCAGATTCTGATTTGATGTTCCCCTGATTTTATTTTAATATCTGCATTGTAAACAGCAATAATGATAACTCATAGCATTCAATCAGAAATAATTTTTCATGATGTGACTGAGTAAACTGCTATAGATTGCTGCATTTTATGTATTACCTGCATGCTGCTTTATTAATTGAGCCTATTAAATGTGATGTTTTTCTAAATTTTTTATGTATTGTCTACATTTCAGGGGAAAAGGATGTGATCATTTTGGGAGGATTCAGCCAACCCTCAGACAGCAGTAACTTTGATTCTTTGAGAAAAGAAAAGTTTCACAACTTGCTTCCAGCAAACACATTTACAAATATCAGCACAAAGACTCCTCAGGGGAATAAGTCCCTGGACAATATCTGGATCAGCAAGAGCCTGAAGAAAGTGTTCACAGGTTAGACCCTTGTGTACGATGTGCCGTACCTGTATATGTGCCAAGCATGAAAATACCCCGCAGTCAGGAGAGGGATATTTGTTCCTAATTCTCTGGGGAGCTGAGCATAGGTGCTAAAATAACACAAAGTATCCTATTTTCATCTACCTTTGTAAAATTCCCATAATTGTTCGTGTCTCTTGCATTTCTGTTCCTGTGTAGAGAATGTTAGGGAGATGTAAAATCACATTCTTATTGCTGGGTATTTCCTTTTACTACTGGTCCTGGTGACTTCCTAGCACACAGACAGCTATAAACCTCTGACAAAAGGTCTTTACATTCTTCACTCTGTCCAAAATAAAGACCTTGTGGCTGGAATTCCAAGACTTCAATTTAAAATGGAAAGTGACTGACATAAGAGACAACTGCTCATGAGCAGAAATCATTTAATATTATTCTACAGGATCTATATAGCACCAACAGTTTGCACAGCTCTTTACAACATATGGGAAGATAGTACAATTACAATACCATACGAAAGGAGTGACCTGTCTTCAAACAGTGGTGCATTTATTGGTGCAACACACAGGCTATATACAGTGCTGTACAGTGCTCAAATAAAGTAAACACTTCAAAAACAAAATCCTAGCCATGTCCCGGCACTGACTAAAGATACGATAGTCCTGACTACCAACCTGTACAAACCTATTGTTTGTTAGGCTTCAGCAAAACACCATGGCCAACCGTGTGCTCCAGCAGATTCAGACTGTCTGCTCCCCAGGCTCCAGAGCAGTGTCTGTTTGCCTCACCTGCATTAAATTGCCACGGAGGCAAAGTGTAAAACCTGGGGCTTACTAAAGGTTCCGGAAGGTGTAAGAGAGGAATCTGGGTGACACATAAACCCCGGACAGGACCTCTCCTTGCTCTCTACATGATGACCTGCTACAGAGCTTACAATCTACGAGGAGGGTCAAGTGATACAGAAGGTAATAACTTTGAGGGATGAGCTGATTGAAGGAGCAGATGTACAGTGTTTAAGAAGAGGTGGAATAGGCTTTCCTGAAGTGAGGACTTATCAGGGATCACCTAAAGGTAGACAGATGTGGTATGGTGTTCCAGAGAATGAGAGAGGCTTTGGAAAAGTCCTGGAGGTGAGCATGGGAGGAGGTGATGAGGGAGCTGAAGAGCAGGAGGTCTTGGGAGGAGCGGAGAGGACAGATAGGATTATATTTTGAGATGAGTTTGGTGATGTAGCTGGGGGCAGAGTTGTGGATGGCTTTGTATGTTGTTGTTAGTATTTTGAATTTTATGCACGGAGCTATTGGAAGCCAATGGAGAGATTGGCAGAGAGAGGTGGCGGTCACTGGTTGGCGAGGTGGATGAGTCTAACAGCAGCATGCATGATGCACTGAAGGGGGTTAGTTTGTTTAGAGGTAGGCCAATGCTGTATTTTGATGTTATGTACCCAGTAGACAGTTTATGGTTATTTTACATATACATTCTAAATACTCAGCTGTCTGTAAGTGGACTGTTCATGAACAATTATGTTTTGCATAAAGTAGATAATAGTTTCCCAGTGTGGTTCTGCCAGTTCTATAATTAGTATGCTCCCTTCAGCTTGCCATACACTGCTTGAATTTTGTCAGAGTCCTGTGTGTGGCCCTGTTGGCATCCCTCCATTTTTTTTTTTTCCAATCGACTTTTGTCAAAGGAGCCAGGGCGAAAAGTCTTGGCCGAAAGATGACTGCAGTCACTGTTAGGGTATTGTGACAGCGGCATGCCTGCTGTTGTCAGAATACAATAGCCCAGCAGGAGAGATTCCCCCGTCTATGCTGTTTTGTGTGAATGGGGCAATCAATAATGTTTGTAATGTTAAGCATATGAGCAGCTTAGAAACAATGATGCATGCTACCTCCATGCCACTTTCTACTGCAAAGCCAAACATTTCAATGGTACCTATTAACATCGATACATTTTTAGACAAGGTCTATTTACAATTACTCAAGAAATGTTCTGTCGAGCAGTCTGCCAGCAGCTTTTTTTGCAATGTTCATATTTAAACACCAAAGAAAATACATTTGACAGTCATTACTTTAGGCAGGATTTAGGCAGGTAAAGGCAGCAGTACTATATTTATAATCATTGAATGTGTTACCATTCTGAATGTGTACATAGGCTTTATGTACTGTACACTGGTACAATACCAGTGGATGTGTTTCGGCTGTAACATCCTTAGTCTCACCTGCGGCCAAAATACATCAACTGGGATTGTCACCTGCCTTCCAAAGTTATCAATAAAGAGTTATTTTAAACTTTGGACACATTTCTTTCTTTCTATATCTCACTAAATTTCTCTCCAAACAGGTTACTCATTGGTGGTGAGAGAGGGCCTCACAAACCCTTGGATTCCAGACAACTGGTCATGGGGTGGCGTGGCTTCAGAGAACTGCCCTATACTAGCGGAATTTTACATGGAGAAAGACTGCAGCAAAAAGGAGTTGGCTTCAAAAGCTAATGGAGTCACTGTGGAACGCAACGAGGCAAACTCAAAACATGAAAGATGAAAAATCAATAAAGCACTTTTATCTCATCAGGAGATGCAAGAGGGGATATTTCTCCAATATTCTGACTGTGAACTGTGAATAGGACTCCTACGCTTTCAATATCTGAGATATTAATGTTTGATTTCAAGTGCCCACCGCCTCTTATGTTAACAACGGATATTGTAGAATATCAGTTTGTGCTAGATAAACCATTGCTCTTTATGATGTCTCAGCTTTCCATGGACATTTATGAACCCATAAAAAAAGACTGCAACCAGAAGAGAAGGAAACTATACTTAAACTTTCTGTGAAACGTTTTATTTTTAACTGATGCAATAACGTAACATAAGACTGTCAACAGGAGACCCTTAACACTGTCAGTTATTTTTGTTCTCAATTTAATGAAATTACCTGCAGATTGCATGCTTTTGTACAGTACACATTGAGAACATTTTGAACTTTTTAACTATGCACTTTTAACCCCTCTAAAGCTACTGAAGCCAGATGGCTTAAAAATGTGATCGGACTATGCTTAAAATAAATGACTTCCAAAAATGAGATTTGTTATGTTTGTAGTGAGTGTGTTCTTAAACATATAACTGTTTACATTGAGAGACACAGGTTTAGTTTAAAGAGTCATTCAACCAAAAGTGATATTTTAGTATTAGGGGGAATCTTGGTGGGTTGAGACAGCTACTGATTTCTTATTTGTCTTGGATACTCCACTGGCGAGATCTCCCTGCCAAAATTCCCAAATTTGTTGCTACCAACCACCTGAGTTTTCCAGGACCTGCTGTTGCACTCCCCATAATATAAAAAAAGTAAATACCAGTGCCAATACTTGGCATTTTCACAAGAACTACCAGGGTCACAGCGGTTGGAGCTGCGACTGGGCCCTGGCGCTCCACCACTGTCCTGAAATCATTAGTCTGTACTGTTTTAGAAAAACTGTCACATGAGGTAATGAAAAAGGTATCAGTAATTGTATCTGCGAGTATTTGGACTCTGATCAACATGACAGTTTGTCAGTTAAGACAGGAGAAAGCTGTTAGAGGAGGGGGGAGGGGGGGGGTTAGTTTTTTTACGACACTTTTGGGTTTTTCTCTAGTCTAGCAGGTTGAAAAGTATCTGTACTTGTACCACGTACGGTACTTGGTAAAAAAAAAATCCAGCAGATAGAGGAGAATTCTTCAAAACGGCCATAGCAAGTGTGCAGGCCCAGGAAGTCAAACACAGAGATGTCACCTTCTTGCTGCTCCCGGCCCTTTTTGATGCATGTCATATAATTGTAGGCATCTTGGGAGGAATTTATCAAAACTGGAGCAGACAAAATCTGGAGCAGTTGTGCATGGCAACCAATCCGCTTCTCTCTATCATTTTTAAAGCTTAACTGAACAAACTAAAAAGATAAGCTGATTGGTTACTATGGGCAACTGCTCCAGATTTTGTCTACTCCAGTTTTGATAAATCCCCCCCTCTTGTGTATTATAGGAATGGGAACTGTAACATTTTTCTTGCGCAGAGAAAACATGGGCACCTTATTTAAAGTGATGTGATTTTGCTCAAAGGCCAATGTATCAGTGTATCAATGTAAAGTAACAGTGGGACAAGGGTCTATGGAAGTATACACAAAGGCATATGAATATGCATTATACATGACTATATTTCATAGCTGCTCCTAGGAATCAACTTTAGTTGACATAAACAATATCTATACATGCAGGTGTTGTAGGACATTATTGGTCTTAAATACCCCCTGTCATCTTCACACAAAAATGAGCAAAAAATTAGGCCTGGAAAAGAAGTCTTTTAACACTCACCTCTCCCCAGGGCTGTCCCTATGAGGCAGCATCTCATTAGGTCATGCACCTCCCTTCCCCATTCTGGCCAGAGCACCCCAGGTTGCTAAGTGCAAGAGAAGCCCCCCTGCCTCAGGCTGTGAAAAGTCTAGGGACACCGCTGCCTGTCCCACTACATGTATGCTATAGGTCTCTTGTGTGTTCAAAACTTACTGCTGCCTCTACTGCTGCCATAGGGTCACTTGAAAGGGGAACTTCAGCTATTAAAGGAGAACTATGGGGTCAGTGTTTTTCCCCATAGTTCTCCTTAGGGTAACGGGAGGACACAAACTAGCGTCCTCCCGTTACCCTAAGCTTATATATCTCTCAAATCATACATTAAAACAGGGATGTACAGCTCGCGGTATACTGAGACGCCGCAGCTGAAGCGGATCCCGACAATTGTGCCGGGATCCGCCCAGCTGCGTGACTGACAGCTGGCTCTGCCTATCTAGAGGCAGAGCCAGCTGTACCCGCCCCCTCCCCCGTCCGTTCCGCCAGTCAGGGCTGGCGGATCGGAGCGGGGAGGGGGGAATCCAGCCCCTCCCCTGTCACGGCAGAGAGCCGTGACAGGATCGAGAGGTGAGCGAACGCCGGTATGTGTTCGCTCACCTCCCGATCTACTGAGCCGACCTGTGACAGTCTCATTGTCACAGGTCGGCTAGAACTATGAGGTTAGTGGAAATCACTCATCTCATAGTTCTCCTTTAACAAATGTAACCTTTGCAGTAGGGCTACCCTGGCACATGCAAGGGTTAACTGCTCAACTGCTCATTTTGGTCTAGGGCCAAACACAGGACCTGATGCTTGGTCCTGTGTTAGTCACGGCTCAGCTCTCTCCCCCTCTACTTTGGCTGTAGTATGTTCCTCAGCATCCTCACATCTAATGCAGGTGAATGGACCTTCATTAGACATGATGACATCAGCGGGGCTTAGACCGATGAGGCACAGACGAAAAGAGGCTAGCAGCCAGGCAGGATCGAGGATCCAGTAAGTATATCATCTATAATCCAGCTCCTATACCAAAATGAGAAGTTTACCCTTGCAGTGCGGGGGGTAGCCCAACTGTAAGGGTTAATTTTGGTAATTCCTGAAGTTCCTCTTTAACGTGGAAGAATATTTCTGTCAGATTTTTATTGCTGTCTAGGACAGAAAATTAGAACTTTCGTTTACGTCTGTCACAGGTGGGAACAGTTAATGGTGTTTTTCTTGCTGTTTTCCCTGTGATGAATATTTTCCTTCACTTCCTGTATTAGGTGGCATCAGTCAGCAGAATGAGAAGTAAAGGGAATTCTGACAGTGGTAATAACCTGACAAGGGATTTACCCATTCACCCCGATTTTTTTATATCTTACCAAAGTGCCATACCTAGAGGAGTCAGTCAGAATCTCACACTGCTCTCAAGTAAATACATCAAATTCGAATTGATTTCTATAGGTTTCAGAAGTTTGCAGTCAGTACTGTTTTGCTGTTTATTGAAAAAGCCTCTTTGTGTGCACAGATGCTTGCCTTGATAACATTCTTTTTAATGATCACATTTTAGCACATGATAGTCTGTCTGTAAAAAAAGAGAGAAAGTATAGATGTATGGCAAGCATCACTCTCTTTGTATACATACTTAAAGACATAAGAATGTTACCATCATAGAGATCAGATGACTATGGTTCATAGAGGAAAAAGCAGAACATGTTTTAAACCTTGAAAGGAATCACTATTATCATATGAACATGCATTAGGCCAGTGGACCCATTCACACGTAAGCATGTGTTTCATGTGTGCGTTGTTATAAGGCAGCTCACTTTGAATGGATCCTTTACAGCATCAACGCATGATTAAAAAAAATGCACCTGCCCTAATACCGGAAGTCCCATTAAGGAAGCCGGGCGGCGGCATGTAATGACTCGCCACCCGGCTTCCCAAATAGCCGGTAAGGTGTCTCCATGCTCCCTCATCACTAGGTGACAAGAGAGCATGGAGCCGGCTTTCTGGCCAATCTGGAAGCCGGGGTGCAGGTAATGACTCGCCGCCCGGCTTCTTGATTGGCCAGCTTCCTGACCAATCAGGAAGCTGGGCGGTGAGTCATTACATTCCGCCCAGCTTCCTGATTGGCGGGGAAGCCCGCTCCATGCTCCCTCATCACTAGTGATGAGGGAGCATGGAGCGGGCTTCCCAGGCAATCAGGAAGCCGGGCAGCATGTAATGACTTGCCGCCTGGCTTCCTGACACCGGAAGTTCCGGTAACGGGATAGGCAGCGAGAGCATTTGGGGGAGTACTCGTACTCGCCCATAAACTCGGTATCGGCACCAATACCGATATTGGTATTGGTATCGGTGCATCCCTACAATACATATACATTTTTGTTAATTGTTAAGGTACTTGAATCCTTTTTCAAGATTTAACTTCTAAGTTTAGTGTCACTTTAAGAATATAGTACCCATTGATAGTTGAATCTGCCAGAATTGCTATTAGGTTTTTTGCTTACATGCACCTGCCTCCTGTAATAAATATTATTCCATATATATATTTCACATAAAGTCTAGCCTAGAAATTTAATTTACTCTCTCCTCTGCCCTGATGGAATTTCCTGCATAACACCATTGGAATCCACCTACAAATCGGATCCAGGAAATGCAACAGAAAAAATGTGGTATAGCTGCCAGATTAAAATTCTATTTCCATGGAAAGGTTCCTGCTGGAGAGGCTTAGCACATCTAGATGTAATAGACCTTATATACTGTATATTTTCATTTCTGTACTGACTATATAGACTTATAATGTAACTATATCGTTCAAATCAACAATCGTAATGATGAAACAAAAAATTTTCCAAAGTACAAAAGCTCTTACACAGCAAGTTAGCATGAAGGGCTCTTGCACACAGGCGCTTGCCCCCTGCACCGTACATTTTATGTCTGATGTTTTTATATTCGTGCACATGCGCAGGTTTACGTATTGCCAGTGTATACTCACCAACAACAGCGATCGACTTTTAAGCTTTACACTGCACCTGGAGCTCCCTTTATGGGGGTGAGTGCCCGTGTGCAGGAGCTCTTTAAAAAATCTCTTTCTTCTGGATCTCTGGATCTCTACACTTGAATTAAAATTAAAATAGTGTAGCTGTACCTCTTTGAGATTTGTTATTTCTTTTATTATTCCCTTGCATTTTCTCCCTGTCAGAGCAGAAATGTCAGGCTGTAAGGCCAACTGGTCTCCTGTCACTGATCAGTGATGATAACAGATACTTATAAATGCATCATTTAACAAGCTACTGCCATGAATACATGAAAGAATGTTACCAATTCACCAGTAGTGTGGACAATGTAGCTCTGAGCTCAAGCAGCAGATAGGTCAGGCTTCATAGGAATCTTTTAGGCTGGGTTCACACCTGGGCGTTTTTCAGCGCTGATCGAATCGATGAAAAACGCTCAAGAAGTGAAATCCTATTAATTGTTACGGGCATGGTTCCCACCTGGGTGTATTTCAGCGTGTTTTGTCGCGCTGAAAAACATCCTACGCGCAAAATAGTACTTGAGCTTCTTTGGGGCAGATTTCAGCGTGTATCCATTGGACTTCTAAATAGAGATTTCGTAAACGCGCATCAAACTCGCGTTTCGTGGACAAAAAAAACGCGCTAAAAACACGCATATTACGAACGCCCAGGTGTGAACCCAGGCTTAGGGCTTGTTCACACCAAATGTGGACAAGATCTGC